TAATTTAATCAATTGATTTTGTAATTTTTTAATAAATTTTGTGAAATTTGAATTTTTTGTTACAATAATTTTTTTGTTGAATTTTTTTCCACAGTAATTTTTTTTGTCAAATTTTTTTCTGCAATAATTTTTTTGCTGAATTTTTTGCTACAGTATCAATTTTTTTGCTAAATTTTTGCTGCAATATCAATTTTTTTACTGAATTTTTTTACCACAATATCAATTTTTTTACTGAATTTTTTGTCGCAGTATCAATTTTTTTGCTGAGTTTTTTGCCGCAGTATCAATTTTTTTGTCAAATTTTTGGCCACATTATGTAAAAATTTTTTTGCCACAATATACAAAATTTTTTTTTACCACAATGTTATTGAATTTTGTGCTGAATTTTTTTTTGCAGTATGTTGATATTTTTTGCCGATTTTTTGTCAATATTTTTAATGCTGAGTGTCAGCAATTGTAAATAATTTGTCAATCTTTTTATTATTAATTTTTATTAAATTTGGTAATAATTTAGTAGCTGAATAATACAATTTTGACTAGTGATATAATTTGCAAAAAATAATTGTTACATATCTAAAAGAACAATTGTTTATATAAAATTTGTTAAGTTTTGATTTAATAAATAAAATGTATATACCCCTAAACCAGTTGTGAATTAAAAAAAAAATAAAATTGATTGAAACAAGTTTTCAAAAAATTAAGCTAAAATTATTAAAAAAAAAAAAAAAAAGAAAGTAAAAAACTTTCAAAATATCTCAAATTTCAATTCTATTTTATCAAATTTTAAAATAAAATTTTTTATTGATTTATTATCACATTTTTTATTTTAGTATACTAGATTTGTCAAATTTGATACATAAGGTGTCCATTTATTGTTTATCAAACATTTTGCCCATCAAAATGATACAATTTCGATTAGTAATAACAAATTCTTTCTATAATCTTAAAAATAATCTATGGCAGGTTAAAAATATATGCCCATTTTCATTGAGACTATTGAAAAATCATCGCATTAGCAACCTCAAAGTATTTGAATTTGTACAGTATAAATTGTTAGTGTTGCATTTTACTCTAAGTGCTACCAAAACCTTAAATTTAAAAACGTGATTAAAATCATGTGATAGAATTATAGATATTAGATGGAATATTAAGTTTGCTTCAAAAAAAACTTCCATTTAAAATGAGCAGAAACGCACCAAAATCGAGTTGGGCCGACGAAGTGGGGGAAGAGTTTGGTATGTACACAGGAATGTCTTCATGAAGTCTTTCTGATCCGGATTTTCATTGTTAGATCTTCCAATGACTGACGAGAGTGGCATTAAAACTATCATTGAATACAAGACAAATGACGATGGGAAAAAAGTGAAGGTACTTATTGAATAAAATTCTTTTATAATGCTCTTTAGGATTAAGATTATGATATTTATCAAAAATTCATTAGGTCACCCGAAAGATCAAAAAAACGCTAATTACAGAACGAGTCAATAAGCCGGTAGCTGAGAGAAAGGTACGAGTTTCTTCAAATTGTTTATGAATTCCGACTTCTGTTTATATTGTAAATTAAAATTTGACTAATAGAAATGGGCTAAATTTGGAGATGAGCGTGGTAAAAAAGTTGGACCAGATCTTAGTACTACAAGTATTGGAGAACAGATATATCTAAAGCTTTCGAGCACTGGAAAGGTGAATAATTCAATTAATTGTATTCAGTTCGTTATACAATTTGGGTAAAATGGTTAATTCATCTTTATTTCTGATAGCATTCAGAAAATATAGAAGAGAATGATCCAAACAAAAAGAAACTGTTGAAAAAGATTCTTTGCCGTATTTGTAAAGGTGACCACTTCACCACCAAATGCCCATACAAAGATACACTTCAGCCTTTAGAAGAACTTAGCACAGCACTTCAGGAAGGAACAAAAGAAACGCGTAAGTTTTATAATGATTCGGATAGTCAAATATTCATTCGTGTTCCCATTCATATTCATCCTCCGATTAGCCCCGGATGTAGAGCAAGCACAGCCCGAGTCTTCTACTGCTGGAGGGAAATATGTCCCACCTGGTATGAGAACGAATGCGAGAGCTCCTAGCGGGGATTCATTTAAAGAGAGAAGAGGTGTGTTTCAAGTTTTTTGACGTCCACAATTCTCGAATCTTCACTTACTTTTAAATACCTTAGATGATGCCACCATTCGTGTTACCAACTTGTCTGAAGATACTGTGGAGGCAGATATAAATGATCTTTTCCGTAAATTTGGTAGCATTTCTCGTGTTTACCTTGCCCGAGACCGTGAAACGAATGTATGCAAGGGTTTCGCGTTTGTCAGTTTTGCACTTCGCGAAGATGCTGCCAAGGCTTTGAAGGCAATTAACGGCTATGGTTATGATAACTTGATTCTTCGGGTTGAATGGGCCAAGTAAATTATTATTATTATTGATTTTTTGTTAAAAAAAGTCTTATAAATGCACCGAGGTTGATCTTTGAATTCTCTTTTGTCCCTAGGTCATCGAATAACCCATAAATCCTAATATTTCACACATTTTATTTTAAATAAATTATAGCCATATTTTACACACATTAAATTAATATCTAATTCTGCATTCAATAGGATCTTGACCAAAAGAAAAAAAAAGAGTAAAGCTCAAAAGTTTGTAGTTACACTAATCTTGTCATGAGATTTCAAAATTAAAAAATACTTCTTTTTTTGGCGGAATTGAATTTATTTGTCGATCTTTT